CTGTTTGTTTCAGCCTCTTAATGGTTCAGATGTCTGAATGGTTAAGAGATTTGCCTCTGAATGGTTAAGTATTATACAGAGTCTGAATGGTTAAGAGCTGTTATCTGAATTGATCAGACATTTGCCTCTGAATAGTTAAGCAATATACTAGCTCTTAATGGTTCAGACCTCTTACTGGTTCAGCACTTAATGATTCAGACCTCTTACTGGTTCAGCACTTACCCATTCAGAAGTCGTCAAACAGCCCCTAAATTAAATATGGATCCCCCCACTGCACCCATTTAATTATAAATGTAAATGGACCCATATATACTTTATATAAACATATATATGGATAATGACTTCCCTCAGCTAATTAAGTGATTGACTACATTTGAGTGTGTTCACTGAACTCTTTTTTTCCTTCATCAAACACTATATATAACGTAACTATTCATCAGACATTTACAATGAATCTTACCATTTTCTGAATTCTCATATTTCCAACTTTCATAAAACTTTTTACAAATGTGTATATATGTCTTAAATTTGTATAGTAAAAAAAGTTAGTGAATAATTTTCTCTTTATAAGAGGATAAATTAAAAATTTAAAAACTTAGAACAAGAAAATTAAGTGAAAGACAATGAAGTTTACATATGAGCCTAAACTAGGTCACACAAGTAGGGTCCGTGGGGACAAAATGGGGAATAGAAGTGCCTAAATAAATTCTATTCCTAAATGCATTAAAGGCAGGTGGACTGACCATGTGATCTATGAAGATGAATGAGAACAGTTGGGTGAGTGCCAATAGATTAATATCGTGCTGCGAAGCAATTATGATAAACATAATACCTCTGTAAATAGTCTAAATACCATGTGCAGACTTCAGTCTTTACCACCAATGTGCAATCAAAGTCTAATTTGTTTCCTTTTAGTGATCGTCTGACCGACCGGGTCTGAGGGAGCCCTGAGAGATGAGGCCCATCCTTTATGAATTAACCCATCACCAAAAGGAAGGTGTTGTTGTTTAATTTGAGGAAGATATATTGAAAAGTTATAAAAATAAGTTAACGTTATTCCAAACAAAGCATAATTAACTAACCCCACCACTCTGCACATCAATCTGGTCCAGAGACACAAACCTAAAAGCATGTTCTATCTCACCCTTTTTTTCATTTTTTCTAGAGAGGCACAACAATGTGTGGTGGTGGCATTTGGCAGGGCTGCCCCCCTACCATTTTACTTGTAAATAATAATAATAATAATAGATAATAATAATAATAATAATAGTGAACTTCCTCCCTGTTATATCATTTTTTCATTTAACTTTTTCCTGTATTTAAATATTTAATATAAAACACTCTGATCATTAGTATCTACATTTACAAATAAGTATGTCTTACAAATATGATGATACTTCAAAACAACATGCATTCGAAAATGAATCTATTGATATTCCATTCTTCTCATAATTTTCTGCTTGGTTTAACTTGACACAATTCTAAATAAAGTAGAATTTATGTGATTGTTTGTGTAAAAAAATGCAATTGAAGAGTTCAATGGGTTCAATTAGAAACTCCGGTTGACACTACGGCGCGACAACGATTATGATACATCTATGATACCCTGTTCGCAACTTCAACTAAATTAGGGAGATGCAATTGAAGAGTTTAATCAAGTAAGAATCATCAATTTTACAAATGGAATATCGTAGCTAGGTATAATTGATACAATTAAATTTCATAATAATTAGTCTTACTGAATAATGAAGGATACATCCATATATATAGTGAATACAAGAGAGAATTCTAATCTAAGTAGGAGAACAATTATAATAACAATACAATAAGGAAGTAATGTTATAAGGAAGGTAATAAATAATTATATTTTATTCTCTAACAATAATACTCTAATTGGAACCGGTGCCATTGGATTATACTAATTAAAAAAACAGTGTCATTCGATCGCCTCTGTGAATAATAATGCAGAGATGCCGGTGGACATAGCTCAACTGATTGAGCAATGGTGCCAAAGAGGATAAATTCAAGTTTGATTTATGACAACTGCCCTAAATCAAACTTGAATTTATCCTCTTTGACACCTCACTCTTAGGGCCAAAGAGCAATGCATTGCATAATAGCCACACATTTTGTGAGG